CGGATCTGGACCCTTCTTCAGAAAAGGGTCTGAAGAAGGGTCCAGACCCGAAACGTCAGCTTTTCAGCTCCTCTGATGTTGCCTGGCCTGCTGTGTTCATCCAGCTCTACACCTTGTTATCTCACACTCCAGCATCGGCAGTTCCTACTATCACAGACTATCCAATCTCTCTTTAAAATGAAAACTCTCCAGCCCAGGTGACATTCTGGTAAATCTCCTCTGCACACTCTCCAGGGTAATCACATCCTTCCAATAGAGTGGTTCCAGAACTGCACAGAATTCTCTAGCTGTGGCTCAACCAATATTTTGTACAGCACCAGCATAAAGTCCCTACTCTTAACTCCATGTCTTAGCTAATAAAGGCAAATATTCCATATGCCTTCTTAAACACTTTATCTACCTGTCCCACTACAATAAGCAGGAATTATCAAAGTAAACAGACTAAACTGCATAACAAGATAACCTGACGTTACAAATTCACCAGAAGATGTGCAAGAGTACCTTCACTAGAGAGATCACATCCTATTTTGCACCAAGTATACAAGCTTGGCTTCCAAATTACATCATCTGTAATTAGAAACTATGAAATGAGAATAAGCTTGCCTCCTTTACCACAGTACCACTTGCTGGTGCCCAAATACTCAGCACCAATATACACTTACCGAATATTGTTATTTTACCAAATATTTTATTACCTTTTATAATAGGCAGACTGAATTGGAAGATACTTGGTCCAGTTTTGACCAACAGCCATACTATTCCCAAATAAAATGCTACCTTTCTGCACTACTAATGACTTTTCAGGATCTATCCAATATTTATTCTGAAGAAGAATCATATCAGACACAAAACATTAACTCTGTTTCTCTGTCCACAGATCCTGTCAGACCTACTGACGTTTTCCAGCACCTTCTGTTTTTATTTCAGATTTCCAGCAATTGCAATATTTTGACTTTTTAGGTACTTTTCAAATTTATTGATGGTATTGATGCCCTCCCTAAGGGCATTGTAGCTAACCTACAGTGCATGGGCTGCAGCGTTTCAAGAAGGCAGCTCACCACCTCCTTTTCAAAGGCAACTAGGGACGGGCAATAAAAGTTGCCCAGCCAGCCTCAACCAAACCCCATGAGTGAACGAAAAAAAAACATTGATAAATATTAGCAAAGTATTTTAAATATTCTATTAATTTGAAACAAATGTCCAACAAATTGTTTCATTAGGTCAAAATCCTGAAACTTCTACCCTAACAACACTATGGGTGTACCTACACCAAATGGACTACAGTGTTTCAAAAAGGCAGTTCACCACCACCAAGGGCACTAGGGATGGGCAACAAATCCTGTCTCAGCTAGTGATGGTCACATCCCTTGAATGAATAATAAAAAACTAGAATAGCTAACATGAAAATTGGTCAGAAGTCATACAACACGAGTTTATAGTCCAACAGGTATATTTGAAATCACAAACTTTCGGAGCACTGCTCCTAACCTGGTGTTGTGCAACTTCTGATCTTGTCCACCCTAGTCCAACACCGGCACCTCCACATCATGAAAATTGCTGTTATTGTTGATAGTGAGGAGTATGGTCTCAAGCTACAGCCTGATATTGATCTACTGGTAAACTGGGCAGAGAAATGGTAGATGAAATTTAATCCTGATAAGTGTGAGGTGATGCATTTTGGGAGGTATAATAAAGGAAGGATTTACACAATGAAATCCAGCTCTCTAGGGAGTAGGGAAAAACAAAGGGACCTTGGTGTACAAGTCCATAGATCCCTGAAGGTGTCAAAGGTCGATAGGGTAGTGAAGAAGGCATGCTGGATCCTTGCTTCATTAGCCAAGTAAAGAATGTAGGAGCAGGAAATTCTTGTTGCAATTTTATAAAACATTGGTTAGGCCACAGATGAAAACTGTGCGCAGTTCTGGTCACTGCACTATTGGAAGGATGTGATTGCACTGGAGGGGGTGGGAAATTCACCAGAATATTGCCTGGGATGAAAAGTGTCAGTAATGAGGAGAGACTAGATAGGCCAGGTTTGCTTTCCCTGGAGCAGAGGAGGCTGAGGGGGATCTGGTTCAATTATACAAAATTATAAGAGGCATAGATAAGGTGGATTGTGCAAATCTTTTCCCCATGTCAAACGTGTCTAAGACCCAGGGGCATAAGTTTAAGGTGAGGAACAAGTGGTTCATAGGGGATCTGAAGAAAAATTCATTCACCCAGAGGGTGGTAGAAATATGGAATGCGCTGCCTGTGAGGGTGGTAGAGGCAGGTAACATTAAGGAAGCATTTGGATGAGCACTTAAAATGCCAGGGCATAATAGGCTATGGACCAAGTGCAGGTAAACGGAACTAGTATAGTTTGGTTTTTGTTGGTCAGCATAGACATGTTGGCCCAAAGGACCTGTTTCTATGCTGTATGACTCTATGACTCTACTTGTATAATAAATGGTCAGGTTATCTCTCTCTGCAATTTGCATTATATGCTTGCAAACAAGTATAAACATCTTTCCCAAGATTTTGCCTCTGTATTCTATATAATGCTAGATGTATATAGATTCATGCCAATGGATAGTTAAGTTTGACAACATCCTCTCAAACTATTTGACTGTATTTTTAGTTTAATTGTTGACAATAACAAAGCTGTTTCAACTATTCCAGTAGGTTTACAAGAAGATGCTGTGGCTTGAATTCTAGTATCATCCTACCTTGCATCAAGGAAACGAGAGCGTAGGATCATGACCGCTTCACATGTGCTCTGTTTTAGCTGCATTTGGATGCTGCTGAATTTTCGGTGGATAATAGAAACCATACGCTCAATCTCCTTTGGTGAAATAGGTCTGGTCCGACTCTGTTCGCGAAGTAAGTTCATAACATGTGTGGTAAATTCACTACATGCCTGCAAATACAACACACCAGGATTCGATTATGCATCAACAAGGGATTCAGAAGATGAAATGCACAGATGGGTGCTAACTACAGCATTTTTTATTTATCTGCATCTGTTAATCAGTTGGTGTGTAAAGTTCTGAGTACTTAAGAACCAGGTACTCTCTGGATAACAGATCATGCTTCAACTGGTATTTCAGAAGAAAATGTTGCACTAGTCTTTATCCTCAAGACTGAATCCTTCACATGATTGGGTTTATTCTGTATTTTTGCCATTAGGAAGTTCTTCAATACCCACTATCATTCTAAGCTGAAATGTGTCTTCAAAACATTTGCTTTCAAGTACTCATACACCACTAGACACGTACTGCATTTATAAAACATCCTACTAATATTTTATCTCCCTCCTTGTTTAAAGTGCTTTCAGTGTTTTATGCAGAATTTTGAACAGCTATGCTTTCAAGTAATCCTGTAGATGAATTTGTAATACTCTTGAAACTGTCAGACGTTCAAATGGGAGTATGTTGCACGAAAAACAGATTTACAAACTGAAGCGTCGTCAGTGGTATAGCCTAATGGCAAAAGGGAGATTTCTACAATCTGGAATACAAATAATGATAAAAGATCTGCATTATAAGAAGCTAGTACTTGCTACTCTCCCTGTAGACAAAATGTTACTTTTCCTCATTAAATTTTAGATTGGCTTTTGCCATTATAAGTTTTTTTTAAAGCAGAAATGCCACATTGTCCCTAATGTGGATAACTGTAATTATAGCACAACAACATAGGGAATTTCCATATATGGGTACTCAAAATAATTATAGTGTAAAAAGGCTGACATAAAGTACATGCAGACATTTAATTTTTTTTATAGATAGATGTAGGGATGAGGCAAACTTTCCCTAATCTACACTGTATTCTGTAAAATGAGAAAACTCTACCGGATCAATTTAACTTTAGATACCGGTGGCTGTTTATGCACTATCAAAAAAAGTTCTATTTAAAATCTCCACACAATTATGCCATTTGGCTTTTATTACAATTAAGGTACACATCATACGCCATTTTACAGAAATTAAGTAGGAGCTAGTTGTAGATCAATTGACTGAAATGGTTTACTGTCTGACAATCAACCTTAGCATTTTTTCCAGTTCTGAAGAAGTCATATTTGACACAAAATGTTAAATCTGTTTCTTTCTTCATAGATGTTGCTAGACTGCAGAGTATTTTCAGCACTTTCTGTTTATATTTTATACTGAACTCCTTTCCTTGTTTGAATTGATTTTAATAATGATGAATGGATTTGTTTAATGAATGTAGGCATGAAATTTGAAAGGGAGTAAAAATCTGGCAGACTGTAGATGTTGGGCTATATAAAACTTAACATTATTTGATTATGTAGCCTATACCTGCTCATATTTCTCCAGCTCTGAGTGGTAAATCTGCCGAATTTGTGTCAGTTTGGCTCTGTAGTCAGAGTGCTCAATGGAATTATCATTTGGCGATCCACCCGATGCTGCTGCTGCTGCTGCAGCTGCTGCTGATCCTCCACCTTTCTCAGGCCCGGACACACCTTCAGCCAACAGCATGTTATCTAGTCTCATCAATTGTGGGTCTGGAGGCTCTTCTTCTTGTACACCTCGGATGCTGAGCACTGTGTACAGCAGAAACAGAATGTTATAGGAAATATCAATAAGAGAAGCATTGAGGAAAAAAACTTTTGCCTCTGGTAGTAGTTGTCAAGACTTAACACAGCACATTGCTATTTAGGACATTTAGTACATCCATGCCTTTGTTATTTCTAGACTCAACTATTCCAACACACTCATGGCTGGTTTCACAAATTCTATCTTCAGTAAACGGTGAGGTCATCCAAAACTCTCCTGCCCTTGTCTTAACTGCAGAAAATGCCATTCTGTTATGAGTGTACTGACCTACACTGACTGCCGGTGAAGCAATATCTTTAATTTCTCCTACATGCTTTCAAATCCCTCCATAGCCTTGGTCCTCTCAATCTCTCTGTTCTCTTCCAAACCCACAACTCACCAAGATATATATACTGCTCTAACTGTGGCCTCTTGTGCATTCCCAATCATAATTGCTACATGTTTGGTGGCAGTGCCATCAGTTTTCTCACTCTAATCTTTGGAATCTCCTCTCTTTATGCCTTAAAACCTACCTCTTTGATCAAGCTTTTGGCTATTTGTCCAAATAATATGCTTAATGTGGTTTGGTGTTATATTTTATTTTGTAGCATTCCCGTGAGGTACCCTTGGATACCTTCATACATTAAAAGTGTAAAATAAGTAAAGCTTTTATTGTTACAACCAACTTTTGAATAGATCTGATTAGTTTTTTTTGGAAGAAATGTATAAGAGTTTTCTAAATGGTCTAGTCTTATGTTGTGTACCAGAAGTCTGGGTCTTGCTGGTCGTGAATATGGTATTCCAAAATTACATCTGCAGTGGAGCTACTGCACAAGTCTACCAACCAAGGTTAGCAAATCATTTCAAAAGTCAATACCCAGCTTATAATTTAAAGTGTGATATTGACAGTTACCATTTTTAACTTCATTAAAATTTTATATTTCTTCAAAATCCATATCAAAATTAAACTGCAATATTGAATTTTGTCAAATGCCTTTAAAATAATGAAAACTAATTCTCTCAACATCAATCATCTGTTAAAAAGATTTATTCCTGATTAATTGTTCCAAAGTTAAAAGACTTCAATTTTTCAAAAACATTCATTTTCAGTTATGATCGAGGGAAATTAACAATCAGTACAACACAGTAAAGTTAAAACATTAAAGAGGAACACATTTCACAAGTATTATTTTGGGCAATGTTATTACTTTCGAGGTTGATATGTTAATATGGTGTTCAGTTGCACATGTATGGCATCACATTCACTGATGCTTGCTGGATGAAGGTCATGGTGTGAACTGAGAGATAGCAAGAACTGCAGATGCTAGGGTCAGAGGAGCTGGAGGAACACAGCAGGTCAGGCATTATGAGACAACAAGGTGCAGGGCTGGATGAACACAGCAGGCCA